AGCAGCTATCTATATAGCAGCAAATCAGACAGCGTTGAAAGAAAATAATAAATAAGAGACCATAACTATAAAAAGAAAGACCTTATGTTCTGCCAAGACAGAGAGTAAAACAAAAAGACTGCTTAATGGAGGGGATTAGTAAATACGCCATGTAAACATACATGTGGAGATGACAGTGTTTATTTTATGAATGCTCTGCAATGCTTGTTAAAAATATAAAATAAATGGTGTAAGTGTGAGTAGGTTTATTGGCACAATAATTACAAAGTGCAAACACATTTCTGTCTGGCAAGCCTTCAGAAGCGCTTCCTGATATTTAATAACATATTCCTCATATGACTCATCCTCTCCGCTCACGGTCTGTTTGACTGATGCTCAGATAATATGAAACCTGGAATATGTCAGATGTTTGTGTGACATAACTCTGTTCGGATCATGCTTTAAATGATATCTGCCAAAAAGGAAATAGCTTTCCGTCACTGCCCTATTTAAATGTACCCACAGGTGTAGCATATGTATGCTAATATGGCAAAATAAATGATTCTGCAGCAATGCTTCAGCTCTGAATACCAACTGTGTGTTGGAGCTGCAACAAACAAAGAGATGACCTTGATGAGGGAGGGGTCAACCTGTCTGCCCGGAGAAAGGTCAAAGTGAACGTCTCTGGCTTTCAGACTTATGACAAAGAGATAAACGCAGAAATTACAGTCATGCCTGAGTGTTTTTTTTAACCTGTTTCAATTTAGCAGGGCACACAATGAATCAGACAGCAGCTTAAGCAATTAACAAGGACAGACATTATGGTAATGAGAGCGCGGAGCTTGTAAGGTCACTGTCGTCGTGCATGTTAAGCCACGACTGAGGGCAGGGATTCTCCAACGCCACATTAATTGTAGGCAGCACAAAGAAATGAGGTGCAGAATTAGTTTACCTGATTTCTCCCACAACAACAAAACAGTCTCTCCACCAAATTTCATTTCATCTTTTCGTGATTTGATGCAATGAGACAAGATGCTGAAGATTTTAGGGAGTACCCTGTTGAGGTAATTTTCAGTGTGAATGCTGATTCCACAATGGATGTATTAAGAGAATTGGATACAGCTTTGGTAGCGGGGCCCTTTTCATTCCTATGAAAGTCGCTCAGCGGCGCATAATGCCAAAATGACTTAAGTGCAAAAATACCTGAATCTTGCCCATTAAAGCATGCGCACATGCTCTTTCCTTAAAGAGGACATGTTATGGTAATGTTCAGGTTCATATTTGTATTCTGTGTCTCTACTGGGACATGATTCCATGCTTTAATGTTCAAAAAGCTCTTTATTTTTCTCATACTGTGCTGCAGCACCTCTTTTCACCCTCTGTCTGAAACCAGAGCCCAGTCTGCTCTGATTGGTCAACCACTTACGGCCCGTCCACACGGCGGCGTGCGTTGTAGCTTCAACGCTTCTGCCCATTCACTTTGAATGGGCTGACGTCACACTTTGCCGAACTGCATTGTGGGAGCGTCGCTTCGCTTTGCTCGCGTTGCTCGCTTCAAAAGTTGAGCAATGTTCAACTTTTGAAGCTTCGACGGAAGCTATGACAAATCATATGCCAGTACAAGCTCTAGCCAATCAAACCGCGTGCTTGTGTGTCCGGGGCGGGAGATTCATGTGATTGGTTGTTGGTCGAGTTTCAGACACGCCCACCGGCAAGCTTCAACGCACGCCGCCGTGTGGACGCTGCGTTAGCGATGTCCCGCCCCTTAGCGTATATCAAATACAATGTGTTGTAGTGCTTGCAAAAATAATTTTACATAAGGAGGTGTGGGAGAAACGTCTTCCTTTACAGACCAGTTTCATGCATTTAAGGCGGCGTAACGTACGGTCTCAGCTCAGTCAGATGAATGGAGGAGGGAAAGGAGCTCTGAAACTAAGCTTTTTAGATCATTTACAACTATAAGGCCTTAAAGATTTTAATATGGGCTATTAAAGGGTTTTTCTCCTGTGAAGTTGATTTAAATAAAAATATATCTGCTGATTCTGCTGAAGACGTCTCTTTCCCAATGTCAACAGGAATAGTTTATTGGGGCCAAAAGACATCACAGACTCGCACATAAGTTTTAGTCTTACACACAAAATGTGTTTCAATGCCTGGCTCACTTCCTGGTTGGCTTGGCTTGGTTAAGCGACCAAGTCCATCTCTGACAGGATAGATCAAATACGTTGGCTATTTATTCTAGATCTATAATGCTCTACAGAGGTTTTTGCTAGCTGCCAAGAACACAATTTGATGGAAAGTAGAACCTTCTAAATGTTTGCTTTTTAATTCAAACACTGCAGTTGGCTCCAATCTTATTATTAACTTTGGCACCAAACCCAAGATTGTTGTTGTGCAAAGCCATACTGTTCAAACTGCAATTTCAATCACTAAATGTAAAAACAATGGTGCTGAATGGAGTGAGAAAGGGAAGTGGCTGGACTGCTCACTCAGTGCAATCTGTCATGATCTGCGAGTTCATAAGTTACAGCACATCAGCAGTTCACTACTTAAGCACACAAAACCGTAAATACAGCACACAAATTAAGCCGTTAATCAAACCTTTACGGAACCTTTCACCATGTCAATATGCATTAGCTGCTGACTGATTGCCATTTGTCTAATTAATCAATCCCCACCTTCAAACTCATGCCATTAATTCACTGATGAGCAGGGTCACAGCACACTCCTCGCACACATAAATCTTCGCCTGTCGCTGATCCAAAAATAACCGCCCAGTTCTGCCCGCCTGACGACTCTACAGCACAGAATGAAGTTAAAGAGGTGGTAATCAACAAGAGAATGATGAGAAAGATCTTTTATATTCTCTCGTTTCTTGTTAATCTGGACTGGAGACGTCAAATAGACTCTGTGTATCAGCTCGTGGTGGAAGCTATAAAGACACTCTGTGAGCTTTTTGTGTTTTGAAAAGGTACAGTTATTACACACACAGTCAATTACAGGTCTCAAGTGGGAACGAGTATTGATTGAGCCACAAATCCAACAAAAGGGGCTTAAACTGAGTAACACCCACTCTCCGATATCAATCCAGGAACATGACTCAGCAAGACCTCGCTGTTTTAGAAAAAAGAGAATGTGTTACTCCCCAGAGGTAAGCCCCTGTTTTCAATCAGCAGCCAACATGTTGCCGCTGCCACCGCCAGTGCTTTCCAACTGGAACCATACCAAAGCAGCTGCATCGGCCTAACGTTTAACACCTCAACAGTCGAATTGGGAATCAAACACAAGGACTCTGATTTCACTCCTGCCTTCCCCTTCACCCACTGTCTGTCCTTCTTCTTTTTTCTCTTTAACATTCATCCCCCTCCTCTCATTTCTCCTATCGCCTACATTACTCTCTTTTCCTTTCCATTCCTTGTCTCTTGTGGGTTGATGTTTTTTGGCAAGGTTCCCAGATAAGAGAGTGGTATGAAAGCAGCGTGGAGGAACAGTTATTACAGGCAGTGTGCTCTGATCAGAGAGGCTTCACATCACAGTGACAGAGATTCTTCTTATCACACCCGGGACCAACAACTCGGAGCACCGAGGTTCTCCATCTGACTCCCTCAGGACCACTGGAAGGCTACGAGGCTGCACATCCATTGTAACAGCGAATCATCTCCAGAACAACAATGTATTTCTTAAATGACTTTATGTCTGTCTAAAACCAAGAAGCAGAAAAACAGATGGCGAAACACAACCAAAATTCACAAAGTGTTGGGTTGGCTGTCTCATTGGTCGACTGCTGTAAAAACTCCATGTGCTTCAACGAGGTTCTTATCCAATGACACTGCCAGCATATTTTTAGCATCAGAGAAAAGATACATTTCTATTTCTCCAAATCATGGCAATCGTATATAAATGTAGGATTTATGAACATCCCCAATTGAATTGCACGTGTCATAGATACAAGCTGCTATTGGACAAATACAGTGTATAATAAAGATGAGATCAGAGCAGAGCATGAGTCATTATGTTCAGATGCTTTGTTCCTAGCTGTTGTCATTACTTGTAATAAATATACATACGGCACTCATTTTCTAAGGAAAAATTATATTCGCAATCCTCATAAGGGGCCGTAAAGTAAACCCGCCTATTTTTCAGGGCACTACGGCTGCGCCCTTGGTTGAAAGCACTGTATATTTAAAGGTTTTTTGGAATGCAGAAGCGCGCTCCGCTTGGCAAGTGACTACAAACAACTAATCACAGCTGCAAGATATATTTCCTGTCTTCTATAACCTCACTTTAAGGTAGATAGTTATGGTAAAGTTGATTATTTTAGTGCAGGGCAAATTTCACGCACAGCGTTTCCACTTAATGCATTTTATGAACTCCCCTGCCAAAATGTCACAGGATCATAAAAGGCCTAACCCTCTGGAAATGAGAACCGGTGTCTAGCACACACAATCAAATACAGGAAGCTACAGTTATATTGCTTAAAATAAAAAACTCAATGCAAATCGTTTGCATAGATGGCACTGCACTGGGTTTCAGTGATAAAACATGAGACTATACTTTTGATAAAGACACGGGAAAGAGGCCATGATATGTCCTGGTAACCGCGCGTCTCAATAAAAAAGCAGAATATGGAGTTATAATAGAGCAGCGTGATGTGTGTCGAGCTCTGTGTGGTAAAACTGTAGCAGCCAGCATTAATCTTTTAGGCGATCTGATGAAAGTGAAGGCACTGCCCCCCACCATGGTTCTACTGCAGTGATTTCATGAATTCAAGGAGCATTTCAACCTATATAGCAAATGTGTGGACCAGATATTGTAAGAATAACTCACATTCTGACTCTCCTGCTTTGCTGAAGTTAGCTTGAGAGTGTTAACTGGCAGTGGCTACATGACTTTCAAAACGAGCCATAACCGTGCACCAATGAACACGAACCGGACCAGAACAATTTGTTGTGTTTTGATTTTGCTCTAGAACAAGTTAACCGAAGCCTTCACTGCTAATTTGTTTTGTGCATGAGACTCACGGTCATGAAGCCGTCCAGTAGACCAGAGTCAGGTTTGGGGGGTGCTTGCAGTCGCTCCATGGACCATTTCTCGATGATGGAGGCCACCTGGCTGTTCTCCGTGCTGAGGATCCTGAAGCCAGTCATGTTCACACCACTGTATCGATACGCCTCCACGTCCAGTGCAAACAGATCCTGGATATAAAGAAAATACATTAGAGATAGAAGAGAAGGATTATGATTCCATTATTACCAACCCTGCCGTTGAAACCCACTGATAAAAAGCTAAAAGCTGAAACCCCACTACTGAGAAGCGTCTTAGCTAACAAGCAAACCAATTACACCCCAATGTTAAGACAGATTTGGGGCTTTTAATAACTTTTGAAACCCTGTCTCCAACAAAATGGTCATTTTCAGTTATGTTTCGGGGAAGCCTTTAAAAAAAAATCCTAGATACAGTTTTACATTCTAAATAGAAAGAACACAAAACAAAACCCCTACAAAACTACTGACTTAGCTTTAGAAAAAACTAAATGAAATGGTTAGGTTTAGATAAAAGGAAATGTTTGATTAAATGGAATGTGTATTTCTCCTGTGTTTGTTCGTCCTACCTATCCAACCCTTTCTCCCCACTACACAGAATTTTGTTTTAGTCAACTGTTATTACACATGCAAAGAGGGAGGTGTTATTTTGGGCTCTGGGTTCCAGCAGTTTTTTTCATTTTATCAGTCGGACACTAAAAAGGACGGGGCAATCTGCTTGTATCATCAATGATAAAGATCAATAGTGGTTTTAGGAAATATATGTTTAGAAGGTAAGAAAATGCAGACAGACTTTACATGTAGTCTGTCAATGTAAACATTTACAGAGAAAAGTTTCTTCAATTTTTTTTTAAAACATCAAAACATTGAGCTTCACATGATGTGGTTTTCTGTAATATCATAAAGCTCTGTGCTAAAATACATTTCTCGAAAAAACAAAGTTGACATTAAAATCAGATCAAAGCAGAGCACTTAATTGTAAAGAGTCCTATAAACCTGTCCTTTTTTCCATAAATAAGATCAAACGGCGCAAAAAATAATAATAATAATACTAGGCTCGAATGTAGTTTGAAAAAATTAAACCTTTTTTCAATCTATTTTCTTTAAAGGTCTTTGTTAATCAACCTGCCAGCTTCTCACTCAGAGTAACAAAGCTTCATTCTTATTCATTCAACCTGTGTTTTCCATCAGATAATAAAAAAAAAGACAAAGTCTTGCATTCAATTATTCTGACACACTAGATTGATTGAAATGTTCCATATAATCTAATGACTAAAATATGTATAACCCAGGAATTAGCAAAAGACTAAATACAAAAAATAGCTGAAATAATTGAGAGAAACAAATGACTAAAAGTAATTACTAAAAGTTGACTAAAATGTTGTAACATTGAGGAGATTACAACTGGACTCAATATAACATTGTTGTTGAATCAAACAACGAACTATGCATACAAACTGGACTAAAACTGATCTTAATTATAAAGACTTCATCTAAAATAGCTGTGAATATCAAAACAGCAAAACACTTAAAGGTAGGGTAGGTAAGAATGGAGAAACCAGCTCGAGTGCGCTAGAATTTGAAAGAATGCAGCCGAAAAAAATCTGCCCCTTCCTTCAGACTTCCTTACAGAGCCCCTCCTCCAACACACACGAACGCGCCAGCCTGTCCTCCTACAAAAAACGACCATATAGGTCGATTGTTCAGCAGCTTATTACGACCCATAGTCACGTTTGAAAGTGTAGCACCTCTAGTGGTCGTGTAAGAAACAACATGCTCCCGTTGATTGCAAACGCTCCGGAGATTCTTTTATTCACTAATAACCCTCTCTGGAAAATCCTAAATTGTAGGATAGCTTGGCCATTAAAATGCTTTTTGTTTTGATTTCTAGCGAGAAGTGTATATTGTACTTTTGTAATCTACGTCCAGTGGATGTGTAGGATCTACAGTTTGATAGATATTACGAAGATGATTTAAGGTCTCGCCAGGAGAACGTGTATATACTACGTCTTTCCGCAGCGTCCATGTAAAGTTGGCGTCAACCCTCACGGGGTGAAAACAGTCCGGTCTCGAAGTTTTCATAATAGAACCGGAAGTATTCCCCTCACTGTCAAATGATTATCCAGTGATATCTGCATTACTCATCCACTAAAAAACATCAGTTTATCCTTGTTAATTACACAATATTGATTGGTTTAAATTGTGTACAATGCTTTTGTGTTTTTAACCTTCGATTCGGAGAAACAAATAGTTTTTTCTGAGTTTAGACACTACAGGGTTTCTGAAGACACTACACTACCCAGAATCCTCAGCTATCATTTGGGACTACAACATCCGCTTTGCTTTACAAACCCTGTGATTAGTCCTCAAGCCCTGTGATTGGATGTTGGAGTGGCAGTGCGCCAAGGTTACGCCGAGCGTCAAACAGCTCTTTGAAATGGAATGAAACCACGGCAGACTTTCCAAAACTGGACTTGGACGGGTCCAGCCCAGCTCCCCCCCCTCCTTGCTTATGTCCATAATGGGCAGCATTAATATACCCACATGACAGCTAAGGTCAGAAGAGCTTTATTTAACAGCTGGTCTTATGTCTGTGACCCCTCCTGTTGTTCATTGATAAGCCTGAAACATGCACTTGTCAAGGTTCAGAGGCAAATTTTGCAAATATGGCAGTAGCCATCGATCATCTTAAGATAAGATAAGATAAGATATACTTTATTGATCCCAAGTTGGGAAATGTTTTTGTTACAGCAGCATGTACTACTTTGTTCTACTCCACTACAATTCAGAGGTTAACCTGGTATTTTTACTCCACTACATTTATTTTAGTTACTTTGCAGATTCTGATTAATGATGTGAAATATATACAACCCTTAAATCAGACTTTAGTTACACCTGAGTAAAATTCAGGGAAGGTGATTGTCAAGTGCCAAAATAAACTATGCAACATATTACTTTGTCAGACTTAATATTTATCTGTAGATACCCCCAAAGTTTTGTTCTTATTCAAAAGAAGACCTTAACTTAAAGTATTCTTTAATGTTTAACTAAAGCCTTATTAGTTTGTCTGTTTTGCACATCCTCCTGTTAATATCTTTGGACGTCCTGCACTAGCTGTTTTATTGTAGAGATCACTACAGTATCTTCTTGATATTTTCTATTCTATATTTCTATCATTGACCTTCTACTTCCCCCCTATTTTGTATGTAGGCTACTCTTGAATTGAAATGTTTTCATCAAATAAAACTTAAAATTCAATAACGTGCTTTAACCACTAGGCGGTCCGGGTTAAAAAACCAGTGGTCTAGTTAATAAAACATAATAATATCAAACATAATATGACTATTAACTTTATTGTGAAATTAAAACAGAACGGTAAAGAAAATACAGTTTCAGTCTCTCGATTTGAAGCTTATGCATTGAACCATGAACCTGTATACACCTGTAACATTCTGCATGAGGAGTTGGAAAGGTAGTTTCTGAAGATGTTACAAATAACATACAGCATACAATGCCATAATAACTTTGTATTATTAGTGTAGGACACTTATGTATGTATAACATCTGAAGATGTGTAGTTTTATTCATGTTTTCACATAATTGTACAGGATATTGCTATAATATTTCACATATTATAGCTGATAATGTATATATATATATATATATATATATATATATATCATATATATTATATATGATATATACATACAAATTAATATCTATCACATAAACACCATATCCCAACGTGCATTGCGGCTAAAACATCCAATCACCGAGCTTCAAGTTCGATCAAAACCTCTGAAAAAAGAAATGTGTCTCTCAGAATCGAAAGAGAAAAACCTATGGGAAAAACACAAAAGCAGTGTACACAATTTAAACCAATTAATGTTGTGTAATTAACAAGGATAAACTGATGTTATTAGTGGATGAGTAATGCAGATATCACTGTAAAATCATACGGTTTTATTATGAAAACTTCCTGACCGGAAATACTGTTTTCACCCCGTGAGTGTTGACGCTAACTTTACATGGACGCTGCCGCATATACACGTTCTCTTGAACAATCGAGCTATTTGTTCGTATGAGTTGGAGGACTTGTTGGAACGCGCACATGACCAATGAGGGCACGAGATAAGTTTGTGCATAGATGGAAGGCTGACAGGCAGGCCAGTTATTTTAGCCGGGCCGGCTAAAATAATTGGTCTGCTTTTTACAGCGCCACGGCTTCCACAGATGACATTTTTTTATGTATTTATTGTTAAAGCATTTAATGTATTCATTGCTATCGGGATGTTAAGAGCATTCCATGGAATATAACAAAAAGTGTTTCTGAAGTGAATTACCTACCCTACCTTTAACAAACGATAAGTAAGAGAAAATACAAATCTGGCACTAAATGGCTGCCATATGTGGCCTCAGTATGTTGGGGTGGTTCACTTGGCTGGGAGAATGATGCTGTCAGCTCCGGACTCTGTCTGCCAAACACAACAGTGGGAAATGACAACTACTACTGTCCCTCCCCTGCCTCATTCATGTTTGTATTCTACTTTTCATCTGCCTGAAAACACCAGAGGGACATTTAATTATCTCACATAAATTGGGCCACACAGAATGGCTGCAGACATTTAGTATGCACATTTAGATGTTCCCTTTCAAACCCAAAATGATCGCTTTTCAGCCGGCAGGATGAAAAGCACAGACAGTTGAAGAATGAATTATTCTGTTTTCAAAGGAACTTGACATTAAAAAAAGTAAAGGGCAGGGGGAGGCGGAACACAAAGAGTGTGTTTTGATACAAGGCAACACAGGCAGCCTCTTCAGGATAACAGCGGGATGGGACTGAGTCAAATCCTTGATGTGGAACATGGACTAAAAGCGTTTAGGGAGCTTAGAATAACACTTACTAGTGTGTGTGTGTGTGTGTGTGTGTGTGTGTGTGTGTGTGTGTGTGTGTGTGTGTGTGTGTGTGTGTGTGTGTGTGTGTGTGTATACAGTATGTAGATGTGTGTCGTTTTGCATTTTATTGTGTGGATAAAGGCAGGTCCCTTATACAGGCACCTAAGATCAGAAGAGCTACAGACTCTGAATAATACCCTTCACATTAACGAGACAAATGACAAGCTTCTTCCTCACCTAACGTAACAATATACATGTTAAAGGAATACATAATAAGGATACATACACAAATATAAGTGTATTCCCTTACAGTTACATGAATAAAGATGTAATCAGATTAATGTTACATTTAAAAAAAAAAATAGGATTACTAGTAGGATCACAATGCTAAAACATATTTTAAATAAAGAACAATACATTACAAAGCAGATTGTGTTTCTTATCTGCAAGCTTTTCTGTTCTGTAGCCACTTTCAGTGTGAATCTTTACGCCTACTGACTAAACTCAAATGGAGCATTTTCTGTTAGCTCAGATTTTATTTGAGCTTTTTTGATGTATGTGGTCAAGGATCAAATTAGTTTGGCCTGTCAAAACAAAATAAAGGTAGAATGATTAATAGTGTTACCAGAAGTTTCCCTTGAAAGGGTTGGACTCTTTTCTTCAAGGGCAGTTGTGTTTGACCTTCTTTAAAGATTAACTTTGTGGATGACTGTTCACTGAAACGTTTCCTGCTGACGTCTTCAGCTGTTTTCGTCTAACACTTGACCGTCACCTCTCTTTGCCTTTAAATAAAGGTGGTTTTCTATTGCAATTTGGGTCCACCCTGCTCTACTTTCAGTAAGAGTTTCCCTGGCCACGGCTGCTCAGTCTTTACCCTGAGAGACTCAAATTGTTTGACGTCAAATATGTTAGAAATAATAAAAGAAGAGTAACAATAGAGTGTGTTTGCAGTTTTCCTGTCAACAGTTTTACAGGTTCCCCTTTTATTTATGGTGGTTTATGGGAAAGGTTGGCTGTGGCTCAGTAGGTTGAGAGGTACTGGTCATAGTGTCTGTTATTCCCCCGCTCCTGTCAACATGTGGAAGTGTCCTTGGGCAAAAGATCTGTGCCTGGCATCAATTAAATAAATTAATTGATATATAAATCTGCTCAATTTACAAAAAGGCTTTTTTTTTTGCTCTAGAGCACATGTGTCAAACTCAAGGCCCGGGGGCCAAATCAGGCCCGTGGTGGATTTAATTTCGGCCCGCAGGATAATTTCGAATTACTATTAGATCTGGCCCGCCGGTATATTGCACGCACACCTTCACTCCATCCTGAGGGTCTCCTCCGCTCAGAGCCTGAGCCCAAACATTGATGAACTTGCACCCAAGATGAGATGCCAAGTATCTGGCTTGAACTAGCATCACAAAGCAGCACACTGAGTTTAGATGGATGTTTCCTTCTGCACTTTTTTTCTTGAGATAACAGGAAATGTTTGTTTTTTTCTTTGAGGGAAATAGTTTTTTTGAAGCTGTTGTTGGCCTGTGGAAAAATGTAATTATAAGAAATGACTCTGGAGAAGCTTCAGATAGAGACATAAGAAATGAATGCAACTGATTATTTAATGTTTAATGTTGTTTTTATAGGCAATCATTTAAGCTGTGTTAGTTCCAGGTTTAATATGTGCAATAAGTTCATTTCAATAAGTTCTGCAATAAACATTGAACCAGTCCGGCCCTCGACTAGTACCCATTTTTTTATTTTGTATTTGTAGATGTTTGGGGATTATGAAGCTGGCCAACTGTAATTGTTGTTGGAAACCTACCTAAAATGTAAGTTTTATTAGCTACTTTTAACAATGTGATCACATGATTCCTTCTGATATTATTGCAGATGCTGGAAGCAATCAGAATCAGAAACAGGTTTATTGCCAGGTAGGTTCACACATACGAGGAATTTGACTTGATGTCATGGTGCATACATAAAATATAAAACAAGAAATCTAATATAAAACAAAAACTCTTTAAGGACACCGTAATAAAATATAGTTAAACGTAGCTAACCTAGTCATTTCAAATATACTGACACAACATTTAAATATGAAACGGACTAACTCTGCTGACAGTGACAGTTGGCCACCTTTATAATCCCCAAACATCAACAAGCTCTCCAGTGTACGTCACTTTTTAGTGTCCCCTGGTTTTCGTTGTGTTTGGAGCTTCTTGCAGCTTTTGGTAAAACCTGCACATGTTTGGTCAGTTTGGTGAAGATGTTTCTTGACTTGCATATGTTTTGGCAAATTTGTGTTTATAAATTTGCGTCGTTTCTGAAGCTGCAGTGCATTTCCCCTAATGGAATGTTTTGGGCTGTTGTAGCGTGTTTGCACCTGTCGGCCACCGTACCGTCAGTATGTGATATCTGTAGCATTCTTAAAAACTCTATAAGAAAGATGCGATATAAAGGAAGAATTTGAAAAGGGGGAGAAAGACATGACTGTGGAAAATAATGACGAACATGAAGAGCATTAATGTTCAAAAAGGTGGGAAACAGCAAAAAAGGATTGAAAAGAAGAAAGAAATCTCAGTTATCCTAATGTCACAAAGTACTATGCTATTATTTTTCTTTGGCTCTTGGAAACACATTAAAGGAAAAAAATAACGATCTGAGGTAATAAAATGAATAGCTGAGAAAATGAAGATTGAAGAGCGGCGCCATCTCATCTTTTGGGCATGCAACAAATCTTCATGGGGATATGGAGCTCTGAGTTCGACCTGATGACAAAGAGACTGCAGCTCAGCCTCCTTCTCTACTTACCAGTGTGGTGAAGATATAGTGATAATACTCTGTCATCATCCCCATGGAGAGAGCCTGAGAGAGAGGGAGAGATTTATAAATGAATAGGGAGGCAGATAAAATATTTTGTCATATTTCGCACCCATGCACACACACACAGGCATTCCTCCACATGTGTGTCTGTATTACTGGCTGTATTACCATGTAATGTGAAGAGGCATATATTCGGCTACACTGCTGCAGCCACAGGCTCAGAGATAAGAGACAAACACCCACCAGAAAAAGGACATAAGCCAAATAAAGCAAAAGACAGAGCTCAGACTCATCCTACATCTGGCATATGTAGGGGATGTGGGGGATAATGCATCTTTCTATAGAAGTGGGACATCTGGAAAACATATATTAGGAAGTCATCCTAAAATAATGAGGTGGAAAATAGTTTGGAAGCTGGCGTTTAGAACAATCTGTGTAAAAAAACAGCTAGTGGTGTGATACTTATGCTGATGATATGAAAGTGTGAATATACAAGCATAACATGATGCTACTGGCTCTGAGTGGAAAAGAATTTTAGCGCTGTGAACCAGGAAAGGTGCTAGCAGCTCATCAACATTTATTTGTTGGCGTTATATCATCACACAGATGGATATGTTAAAGCAGCCACATATCCTATAAATATGTCAATATTTGATGATTCTGCACATAACAGTTTACATTCAGTGCTAATGTGTGAAGGAGTGTGTCCTTTATGTAGAGAAACGCAGTGAAAAAGTGTGAAGGTCAATGTGGTGATGGGTGTGTTACACACTCCATTTTATGCACCGGAACTGCAATAAAAGGCTTTTATTAACTCTGAACGCTTTTAAACCGTTTTTAAAACACATTTGATAAAATAAAATGGCCTAGAATAAGGTTTTAGACTTTAGATTTTAACACTCTTGCCTTGAGACATGTTTAGTGAATGATATAGTATTTAAAAAGACGCAGTACTCCAAAGTCTGACCCTGTGGTAGTAGAGCGGTTTCCTTCAAGTCTCTACAATTGGGTCCACTTTTATTTTGACAATCTGATTTCAATAATATCCAACATTATATTTGTTCCTACTCTTTACAAGATCACAGATTATTTGAATGCATCTTAAAATAAAAAATAAAAAGGGGTTCAGACATCCAATAGACTTGGAGTACAATTGCTGTTGAGGTTGATGGGGCCCTGAGATTAGGATGCACCCTGAATGCCCTCCATGGATTTAATCCAGCTTTCTAGAAGTTGGAGAAGAGGGAAACCCTTGGACAGAACCACACCGGGCAGCAGGGATTATCTGACCTGAGAACACCTTGGAGAGTTGGAAGACATGGCTTTGGAGAAGGCTTAACCCTAACCCTAACCCTAACCCTAACCCTAACCCTAGACCACAACCAGCAAAATATGAATTGATACATTTAGTTTGCCAGTTTTACCCAATGCTAGGAGCAGAACTTGAATTATAGACACAAATAATTGGTGTCTATAGACTGGTGTGAGTTTAGTGGAGAGTCCAGAGGAAGGAAAACCAGAATAGAATGAGCACACAGAGAAACTTGATGAATGGGTAAACAAGACTCTGTTGCAGTTACATTTGTATTTGATGTTGATTAGAACAGAGTCACTCTAAATGGCTGCCTTGTTCAGTAGGAGTTGTCACCTGCCTCTGATCGCTGCAAATCTTACTATCAATGAGTTACCACAGAATCATGTACTTATTCACCCCATCAAGAGGCTATCTGTTTATAAAAATGCCTCAGTGGTGGTGTCAAAGTCTCACTAAACTGAAGTATATCACAGATTAGGACTGTGTGTAGAGGATGATTAAACAGACAGGAAGTGACAATGGCTGCCTGGATCAGGTGGGGGACCTTGAGAAGCCTCCAGCCTTCTTTCTGTTTGAGGATCAGCCCACTCACCAGTGACTCACATGGTGCCATTTCCTGAACCTTTTTATACCAGAGGAATGCTGGAAACCTTTCGATGCTTATGTATCCATGTTCCAATTTTGTATGTCATTTATAAAAAGCAAATCAATGGAGAAAAACATTCTGTTCAGTTATAATCACTGTGAACGACAGAAAAAGCACTTCCTAATTTAGTTGTAGCTTGAAGATGGATTCTGATATAACTGAAAGGAAATATGCTGTTCAATGTATTCACATGATTTTCTTCTTGGTTACACTTCTTGGTGTGTCTAATCCATCTAAAATAATTCAGTTTGATAACCTAAAATACTCTCTTTAGTCTATGATAATGGGGTTCGCACAATGGAAAATCTGCTTGACCTAACCACATTTATTTTGATCTACAGCCTTTTATGTTCCGACCAGGCTAGCTTTAATATTTGTATTATTATTATTAGCCACTTGTCCTCCTTTCAACCATATATAAATCAATCAATTCTCTGCCAATTCCTTGTCCAATTGCATGATTCATCATGATTAAGTATATTACAAGGATGGTTCTGTTAAATACAGCTGGGAAATACAATCAGACAAATGTCAACAAATCATTTACTTTTAATTTAATTGTAGGCCTTTTTGTCCTGACTGGTTTTCTGACATTCTTTGACCAGTGTGACCATGATAAATGTACAGAGGTGGGAGAAGAACTCAGATATTGTACTTGAGTAAAAGTAAGAGTGTAGGAATGGTAAGTAAAAGTCCTGTATTCAAAAGGTTACTCAAGTAAAAGTACAACATTATTAGCATAAAAATATACTTAAAGTACCAAAAGTCAAAGTACTCATTCTGCAGTTTGGTCCATTTCAGAATACTATATATGATATGTTTTATAATGATTGATCATTAAAGTGTTCTCAAAGCTGGTAAAGGTGCAGCTAGTTTGAATGACTTTGTATACTGCAGGGTAGCTTGTGAATTTACTCCAGGTGGAACTACAGTCTGATTTAACACTTGGTTATATTTCACATCATTCATCCACATCTGTAAAGTAACTAAAGGTATTCAATACATGTAGTGGAGTAGAAGTACACCATTTAACTCTGAATTGTAGAGGAGTAGAAGTACAAAGTAGTACAACATTGAAATACTCAAGTAAATTACAAGTATCTCAAAATTGTACTTAATTACTGTACTTGAGTAAATGTACTTAGTTCCTTCCCACCTCTGTACATGTATCTCTCACTTACTGTAGGGACAATTTGGGGGGAAAGTTAGGGAATTGAGCTATACTTCAACCTATGGCAGAGTATTTTTGTTCGAATAAAAAACTGCTTAACCCTGTGAGACAACATAAAAAGAAGCGACTTTGAAATATTAAGAGTGTGTAAAGTGTTTTAGTGTTGCTGTAAAATAGCCTCACAAAGACAGATGGCAGCGACATGCATTTCCAGAATCCTGGTTTATTTGATATACAATACACACATTTTATGATTTTGAGTTTTAAAAAGGCTCTGAAACATTCAGGTGTTATGAAAGCTTTCTCCTCTGTTTGTATTATTGGTCTGACACAGATCTGTCTGTATCTATATATAAGGTTACAGTCTTAGCGAGCCATGGCCTTAATTTACAAAGGTGATGCAAAGACGCAAATATCGTAATTTCGCACAAGGCAATGCCACACAATATGATGTCATCTGCTTAAAATGAGAAGCCTTCATTTGTCTGATATAAGAAAGGTGGTCACTGTTATTGAATGAGTGAACTAAATATACAGCATGTAAATATAAGTGTTTTTTGAATGATTTATTCAACAAATCTGTGAAATGCTAGTCTGTGTCCTACATTACAGACATTAAAGGTATATTATGTATAGGTATGGATCCTCTCTGTTGTCCTCCTTGTTGTGTCTACATTTGGGAGTTACGGTTTGACAATGGCTGATGTGAAGTACTTATGATGACTAACTCAAAGGTGTGTCATGTAATGAGAATATCAGAGCGGGACAGTCTTTATTCCTTCCTGTTAGCAGGGATTCTCTCTGACATTAATAATGGAAGGAGTCCTTGACCTTGCAGCAATCTACCACCCGGCATTGATTAAACCCTGGGAGTGACAGCCTGGGGGGGAAGTCATGTTGTCTTTAATATTTGATAAATCCTGAAAGCAGAAGAAATATGAATTCTTGTTAATTGAGCCATTGCAGATGTCCTATTGTACGCCACATGGTATACTGTTTTCTCCAATGTTTTGATATGTTGTGTGTAATTGTGGGATTAATGCTAATATTATTTTATCAGACGATGCTTCCTGTGATCTCAACGTAAGTGTGTTATTATGACAGGGTTTAAGGCTGCTGTATTTATTTCATGGTCTGTCCAAGAGATTTCCATCATGCAGAAGAAGAGGATCCCAGGAGAGGATGGAGCACAATTACCAGCAGCACAACATGACCATTATGATAATCAGATCATTAAGTCATGATACACAGTGATTGCATAATGAGATGACTGAGTCGTAATTTAGACATAATTGATCTAAAAACTATTATTAGCAACTATGTTTACTTCCTGTGATATTATTACATATGAGAGGGAATGTACTTTAAAGATCTCCTATCATGCTATTTTTAGGCATATATTATGGGTATCAGATATATAAAAATATATAAAAAACATGTCTATGATGTGTTTTGCTCAAAATACCAAACAGATCATGCATTTTAGACATCTGTTAGAGAATGGCTGATTCTTTGCTGGCCCCGCCCCCTTTTGAGCAGCAGGAACACAGTGAAGTCTGTGACGAGCTGTCTGCTCTGCCATATCATGTTCCAAACCACTTCAAGGATTATTTCTGAAACAGAATGGAGCTCAAATGCTTTTCTCTTGCGGGTTTACCGCAAGGTGAGTTCCTTTTTTTATTTCCTGCTTTTTTACACATACTCTCTCCAGTGCAGGTTAGCTCTGAGTATTAGCGATGCTTGCTAATGTAAACAAAGACCATATCACGTCCAAAACACTTCGCCATTGTTTCTGATAGCAAACCGTGGGTGTAAAGCCAGCCCACTTTTCTGATATTACGTCATATCGGACGCAAATCTGGATCAGCTCCTTTGTACCATACAAATGCCTCAAACGCCTCAACCTCCACACCATATATTCCCATTTCAGTATATAAATAAATCAAAATCAGAAATACTTTATTCATCTCTAAGGGGTAAATTGGGTAATGTAACATTTGGTCCCATTGTAGAGCAAGATTATTAAAAAAATATGAATGAGAAATGTATTTTTTTAAAGAAATGTATATAAACACAAATTAAATATTAAAGTAATAAATTCAACATAACAATTCAAGGAAATTGACTGTATTGGCACTGATTATGAGCTTAGCAGTATTTGCAATTTATAGTTGCAGTTTAAGGGTGTTCAATCTTATCAAATGTTTTAAAAAATGTTTGTGATATTTAATAAAAGGAAACAATTTGGCCTGATCTGTAGTATTATAACGTATTCAACACGATTAGGCAATTGCAAATGTGTGTGTGTTGAAAATAAATGTGTGCAAACAGTGTAGGCTACAGTGAAGTGTGCCTTAGATAACCCATCTTTTAGGACTTATTCACACACACACACACACACACACACACACACACACACACACACACACACACACACACACACACACACACACACACACACACACACACACACACACACACACACACACACACACACACACACACACACACACCTGCTTCAGGATCCCAGCAGCCATTTCATGGCCACAGTCGAAGATGATGTGGAACTCCTTCCCCCTCTTCATCTCTTTCAGCAGCGGCTTAGCATCCTTAGAGTCTGCAGGCAGCTGGCGGATCTTTAGCCGGATGTTGTATCGGGACGGAGCCTTTATGAGTTCTTGCAACCGAATCAGACCTGTCGGGAAAACAACAAAGGAAAAAAGGATGTTTTAGTTTGCCTGAAGAGTCTGTGTTATTTGACAACGTTGCCATTCTGAAACTGGTACAGTCCTGCTCCCATGAGGGCAATATTCTCCTAAATATATGTACATACATTTACACAGTAATTGAGGTAAGAGCTACAGATTCATTTGGCAGTGGTTGTTTTAATTAGACCGAGGATAAGAAAGCTGCAGGGGTATTTTTCTGTCGTCAGTTTATTTCGAAATCGTTTTCCTTTAACCTTCCCTGCCCTACTCTAGAGTAAACACAACATTTTTCTTTCAGTGCCTTCCTATTTCCTCTTTCACCATCTTTGTCCCTGTCCTCTTTGTCCATCTAATACTTTCCATAATACATTTCAGCAGTATGCTTCACGTCAGTATCGGCTAGGGATGGGAACGATTAATCGAATATTCAAAATTATTCAGGTATTCGAATATGAGAATATGAGTTATGAATATTTTTATTGTAATTCTTTATTTATTTTTTTGGGAAGGGTGCCTAAGTTGATTACATATGATCAAATGGAATAATTCAATGTATACGACAGTGCCATAGCTAAATGTGTTAGGTCTGTGAAAAAAAAAAGGTGTGTTTTGCTCCGCTCACCGGTCCCTCACAGCGGGCAGAGCTGCAGGTGCTGATCTCTCTCTCGCGTCCGGTTATACTTCACTCGCGTTTATGTCTAAATCCATCAGATCTAGCTAGTTCTAGCTAATGATATGGCTGCTGCCCCTCCCTACACGCAGATCACACAGACTCAAACCTCATCTTATGCCCACATTCCAGCTGAGAGGGTCTTCTCTACAGCTGGCCTGATTGTGAATCGTCTCCGCACCCGCCTCTCCCCTGAGCATGTAGACATGCTCATATTCTTAAACAAGAAGGAGTATTGAATAGCTGCATTCTGTGCAGAGGCCCTGTTATAGGTTGTTGATCTCTGTTGTAATAGGGTTACGTTACCCTAACCCGTTATGTTGTTCGTGTATGATCCCTCTTTCATTTAAAAACCAAGTTATGTTTTAAGCATGAAAGCTGTAGGCCTATAGCTGTCAACTGTTCAAACTGTTATCACCAGTTCAATACATTTGACAAATTCAACTTGGTTTCTATACTTATTTGAACATGTATTTTTTTTTTTTTTCAAAATAAAAAAAAAAAAATGTTTTTGGAAAATGTTTTCCCACATTTATTTTATTTTATTTATAGGATATGTACATTTCGGTTAATCGGTTAACCGTTTCTTTGGGGGTCGAATATTCGAATATACATTTGCTTTCAAATTCCCATGCCTAGTATCAGCAGGCCCTGACCCAACTATACAAAGAGTGGAACAAACACACAGAGCTCTGTCTGGACCGTATTTAAAGGTACGATCATTGTCATCCGTGCTGAAATGTAATTCATTGTAAAACAAATGTGCTGAGTTACCGCCATTACATCTCGACTCTAATTACAAAGCCTTAAGTGATCACAGGTAATTAATCAAATTACTGTTAAGTGAATTCACACTGACTAAACCAGATGTTATTTTTAATACTAGCCAGCCATCAGTCCCTAAATCTACAAAAAGTCCCGTCGGCCACTCAGCAGTGTGTGTCTCTATTTGCCCACGGCCCACTGTCCCCAGCTGTTGGCCCTGTGGCATTATTTGTTTACTTCCTGGTTCCAAATGAGTGCACTGCACTGTGGGAAACCAGCCCGCAGCCAGTCAGTGCTTTCATTAAATCAAACACTGATGATCATCCCCCCCGAGTGTTGACCTGTGAGACACCGGCAGTGTTCCATTTAACCATCGCGTGATGGAGTGACTCCTCAGCTGTTCACAACATCTCAGCTGGACACAACACACACACACACACACACACACACACACACACCCACACACACACACACACACACACACACACACACACACACACACACACACACACACACACACACACCACACACACACACACACACACACACACACACACACACACACACACAGTGTATGATATAAAGAAAGCAGACTATAAGGGTTTGAACTTGTGTCAAAGAGCTCCCAGTGGGGAACCAGATGTGTGTGAATATGTGTAAAACAACCGTGTGAACATGTGATTGATGTGGTGTAGCAGTGAGTTTATGCGGTAATGAGTGACTAAGCATAATTTGATCAGTGAGATTTCCACCAATGGATATACAGTGGGGTTAAAGACAAACAAAAGACAATTTATCATTTTATATTTCACAACCACAAAGCTCAACAAATCTTGTCACCTGCTCATATCTTTGAGGACATACAGTATATATATAACCAGGTGGATTTCATGCATTAGGACGTTTTTGAAATGTTCACACACTACAAAAGCAAAATGCATGCTTGTTATGAAAAGAGGTTGTCTGAAGAACAATACCTGCATTTTAATATTTAATCTCCGATAGGAATAGTACAACATTTTGGAGAACATGCTCATTTATTTCCGTTTTAATGACAGCATAAGTGTTAACAGAAGAGCTGGAGTCAGACTTAAACTAGCCTAGCTTAGCATGAAAGGAAATTAGTCAGCTTGCATGGCACTGTGCAATGTTCAAAAAGGTGCAACAAGTCCTCAAACTGAAATGATAAAATACATATGTTTCTTGTCTGGGATCCCTATAAAAAGGACCACATTGTTTTTCAAATACATTACGGTTGAATCTGTTCTCTTTAGCTCTGTAGTTTTGATCTGTACAAATACAGATATTTGCAGGAAATATTTATTGCTGAGAACTAAAAAAGAAATATGAATTTGCCTCAATTGACTGCTGCACTTGCTCATCGTAAACACATGTCAGAGCTTTCTGCATGGCTATCATACCTTTCCATGAACTACAGGCACGGTGATGAGAAATCTAGAGGCGAAGAATACTGGAGAGGGTGAAAAGGGTTGTCAGCGCTGATCAGTATTGACGGTGTTTAATGCCCAGCGACTGCTCTGGCTCAGTTGTCATCTTGTGTTATTTTCATGTATTTTTGGACAGATTAAATTGTAATCATCTTTATATTTGTGTGAACCAAATTGTAATTGTAATTCCACAATTCTCTTATTCCACCAGTAATTGAGCTTATTTATTTTTCATTCATGCCATCTCTCTGTGCTGCATGAAGAGACCCCTCACTGTGGGCAAAGGGCCAGAGGTGTGGACTCAATTCACTTGACTACAGTCAAAATCAAAATTACTTTCAACTCTGTTTAGACTTCCACACCAACAACTCTTGAGTCTTGAAAGATCTGATCCACTTTATGCAAATACTTTTTTTTAGATTTTACCAAAGAACTGGCACAAGTCCTGTTTAAATCTTAAACAAAAGCCAGTGAGTGGCATCTGATATACAGTACATGACAGATGGAGAGACACATGGACAGATGGAGCCATGCTGATCCATTTAGTCCCTCCCATGATTCCACTGGGGTGGCCACCATGCCTGAAAGATGGTTGATATGCCCAAGAAGTGAGAGTAGAGCAGCTCAAAAATGGCTGCCACTTGCTGGGATATTGAATAATCAGCTGTATTTTACCGGGCTCAGGCTCAATCCAAACCGACCCCTTACACCCTAACTCTACCCTCCACCTTAAAAACCTATCATGCTATATTTAAATGATATATTGTAGGGCCATACCTATATAAGGTATATTTATATGTTTCTGTTTTCGAAATACCAAACAGATCATGCATTTTAGCCATGCCTCATTTCGCTCTATGTGCTGTTTGCTGTCTACGGGTCTGATTCTGCTGACCACGCCCCCCTGCAGGAGAGGGGAGACGTGCTCTGATCAGCTGCTGGGCTGTCAGAAGAGGGGGAGAGAAAGAGATCTCCGTCCTCCGTGTTTTATTATAGCCAAAGACTTTTGACCAGCACTTTTCTAATTTTGTCCGGAAGATTTAAACTTTAACGGACATCTTGACCGGCGAAAGTAACTGAAACTGAAACTCTGCCGCACGGTCCCATCGTTCCTTGGAAGAGGCGGAGAGGTGGGTGTTTGTCATCTGCTGGTGGACTAACCGGAGAGAATGACAGTGCTTGCCTCGACGGGGAGGGATTGCATTGAATTAAAGCAGAAGGAGCAAACGCTTGCCTCGGGGAGGGAGAAAGAAAGCCACAGCGGAGAATAAACAGAAGGGTAACCATGGTAACGAAGTCTTCTTCGCTGCTATTGTGGCAGACTACAGCGCCACTTACAGGCCTGGCATATGTACTACAGCGTCTCCAGCACTTTCGAACGGCAATGGCCGTGGCTGTCTCCTCCTGATTGGTGGAGTTGGCCCAATAGCCGTAGCGCCACTTTCCTGACGTCAGGACAGTGTTCAAATCTGGATCAGTTTTTATCAGATCCGTTGCAGCCCCTTTTTTTAGAGATTTGGGTATGGAGGAAAATAGAGAGGGTTGTGTTTTCTGACACTTGGTGAGTTCACTGGAACACCGGGGACACATATTCATGTATAAAAGACGTACAAAAGTGCATTTTGCATGATAGGTCCCCTTTAAAGAAGGGAGCTCAGCTGAGAGCTATCATTTCTAGGTTCAATTCTCACAAAACACAACATCCCCTTCCACTGCTACGCCGACGATGTACAGATCTATCTGCCACTCAATTCAAATGTTAACTCATTACAGCTATTGATGGACTGCTTAGCAGAGATCAAATCCTGGCTGAGCCAACATTTCCTCAACCTCAATGAGAGCAAGACTGAGGTTATCTTTTTTGGACCCCAACCTCTAGCCTCCCAGGTTGATATTCTGGGCTCCCTCAAAAATAATATCCTCCCCTCTGTCACGAACCTTGGAGTGACCTTCAATAGCGCTTTTAAATTCGATAAGCAGGTCAGCAGCGTAGTCAAAACCTGCTTTTTTTTAAATACGACTATTGGCCAAGACTAAGTCGTTTTTATCGTTTGAGGACCTGGAAAGGGTTATTAACGCCTTTGTTACCTCGAGGTTGGACTAC